CGGTGAACTTAACTCGGCAGCGAACAACTTACAACAACACCAAACAACGTAAGCGTCAGCCAACGTAAGCCACCGTAAGGTGTCGGTAAAAAAGGGAGACAGCCTCAGCGTAAGCGTCGGTAAAAAAGGGAGATGCAAGATCTGCTCTCTGCTCTCCGAAAGAGAAATTCACCACAGCGCTCGACTGAGCGCTCCGTCGCTCCACCACACTCCTAAATAAAAACGAAAGTAAACATTACCGAATCTCGGATACTCTGCCTGCAATTCGAATCAGACTTTTCAAGATGCGTTGCAATAAAATATTTGAGGCAGTTGTCTGATTTGTTTACTTTTATACCCGGTGCTCGTAGTGCCAAAGGGTATATTAGGTTCGTAGGAAGTATGTAACAGATAGAAGGATATAACAGATATAAAGCGGTCGGTTATTTGTGTAATTTGCACAGCAGCCTATATGTGTCCCAGTTCCGGCAGAGGATGAGCAGAGCTATTTCCCATGCCCGCTTAATGGGATGCTATAAACTATATTTATTATAGATCAAGATCAGTATGTCCGTGTGAACGCTCAAATATCGGAATCTATAAAAGCTAATGAGTTGAAGTTCAGCGGGGTGCAACGCCCATTTTGTTTCAGTGTAAATTAAAGTTGGTTTTATTTCCACATACATGCCAATTATTATACCAATCTGTAGTAAGTATTATCGCAATAGTTTTGAATAACTAAGTTAATCAGTCAAAAAAGATTTGAATGGTCAGTAGTAATGCTGCCACCCGCTGGATGGCGCCACTGGGTGCCTTGCCAATTGGAATGCCCTGAAATTGGTCTATTTAAATTGTTCAACAGACTAAGCGCTGTTTCTTGCTTATGATTTTTAGGTGAAATTACGATTGTTTACATTTGTCAATACCTACCTATATGTAAAAACCCGTGCAAACCAGACTGTTTTGTGAAAAGTTAGCCATGACGTCAGAGCCAGTAAATAACGTACAAATGTAATATGTATAAATGTGTGTAGCTCAATTTGAATGGCGCGCAAATATCACATTTTCAAACAAAGCTAGTACCCAATGTTTATTAAATAAACAATACAAGCAATTAGATTTAACTATGCACAATACGCTTTAAGATTGTTTATGTTTAGCAAACATTAATTTATATATTTTTATTTATTGGTTGCCCTCTCATTCTGCCAGAAACATAAACTTGGTCAATCTGCTACTGGAGCAGAAAATGAGAGCGAAAAGCGCTGCAGTCAAGAGAGCGCAAAATGCATGGCTAACTTGCTCTAATGAGAAATGATTAACTTAAACTATTTGCCCTCTTTGTCTCCCACTCCCCAATTGGCTTAATACCAATTTATTTACCTAATTCCGATAACGTTAATGTAAAATCTAAATTGCTAAAAAGCAATAGTACAAGCGCGGGATCGAGGCTCGCTTTTTGAGTTTTCCCTCCAGGCACGACATGTGCCAAGGAGAGACGGAAGATCGTATAGGCAGGTGTTGAAAAGCGGTAAAAGGCACTGCCCGGATTTAGTAAAATTGGCAGTAAACATTTTTGATCTGCACCCAGTTTACGACCAATAATGTGACAACTCTAGTTTTCAGCGATTCAACAACCTGGAGGAATTGCTAAAATGTCTGAATATTAGTCTGTAAGGAGCCGCTAAAATCAGCTGACCAAAATTTAACAATTCAGCAATCCAACAGTTTAGGGACTACCCTAAATGTTTGAGCACTAGGCTTAATTAAAAAAACTCCTCTTTACATGGTAAAAGGTACAAGTTTTGATATCAAATTTTGTGTCGAAAAATGCTTGTATTTTCGACTAAATAAATGCACTTTCTAAAAAGTTGTCACTTGATATCAGAAGTTTTTGATTTGAACATCAATCATATAGTATAATTGGCCTACTTTCTAAAAAGTCGTAGAATATAAGTTTCTTATACTGAGCTGTTTAACGCCATTTAAATATTTTTGGACTTTAAAATAGTTTGGATAAGTACAAACGAAATTCAATACAGCGTTAGTTGTTCTGAAGTGGTAAGAGCGGCAATTTTTGTTGATAAATGACTTTCAAACGTGACTTTTTACAACAATATATGTGTCAAATTTTTAAAGTTTAAACAGAGATCGTTAGAACCGTTTTTAAACAAAAGTAGGCTTAAATAAAATTTGTTTAACTCTTGGCAATAATTTTTAAGCTATGGTATTTAGACAAATTATGTTAAGCAAGTGCACATTCTTTTTTGGCGTGAAAACAGCTATAAATATCTAAATTTCGATCGCCTGTAACTACTTAAGATACATACTTGTGTTATATGCCGATGAAAAGATATATTACAATACTGCGTACGCCTTCCTAACGTGATTAGTCTAAAACCACAATGTAATTATTGTTGTATACAGATATACTAAACATCAATCATCCGATTGGTATTCAGGTATATTAATTTAAAAACTTACACACTAAAATTTTGATTTTTCAAAAATTCTGATATCAAAAGAAAACCACTTCCCAACGAGGTAAAAAAATTAGTCACAATCGCACGTTTTACATAAAAAAGTTCTGATATCAACTTTTGTGACGAAATTTATTATACGATCTACTAAATAAATTTTCTTTTAAGACAAATTTTTAAAGGTTTAAATGAAATGTTTTATCCAAATGGTTGAAAGAGAACCGAATGCACTTGAGAATTGGACCACTTTTTGTGGCATTATTTACAACTTAAAGACGGAGCAATAAATAAATTTAAAGGATTAAAAAAATTGCCATGTTCTCGTTCTCCTTTTTGTGTGGATTAACGCTAAACCGTGTGCCTCAACTATCAGCTAAAAGGACAAACGGGAGATGGAGATATTCAAAGCGGAGATTCTGAAGCGCCACCTGCAAGCGATTTCAATAATGTGTGGCGTGGCAAACTTTTTTAGGTTAACCGATAGGTTTGGACGAGAACAGAACATATCAGTTTCGACTTGTATTCTACTTTGACTTTTCAATAAGACTTAAAATAACTATTATTTACTTTCATAAATAATAACTGTTTTTTAAATACTTTTACTGAAATAATCAATAAATAATAGTTATTTAATGATTAAAAAAAATATATGTCTTAAAAATCAGTTGCCAACGGGATATCTATGGCATAAAAATTTCGACTGCTGGAATTTGATCTTATGTTTGTAATGTTGCACTGATGTACATAAATTCTTTAACTCCACCTCGAATTCTTCAGAGCAACCGTTTAAAACCATCCATAAATTCTTAAAAATTCGTTACCGCGAACTCTCCAGAACAAGAGAACAAATACTGACCATGGTAAAAATATAACATCAATAAATCACAAACTTAGAGGAGACTTTAATTCTGAGAAAAAAACCAATAATCAATTAAAAGTGGTCTATTTCCGCATAATATTTAGATTTTTTTTCGATTTTTTTTGTCTGATTTTTATATATAAATAAAAAATCATTAAAAACAACAATTACAACTGTTTTCTTAAATAAACAACAAAGTTAATTTAGTAAACACGTTCATTATTATTTTTAAATAATTTATATTTAATAACAAAAAATAATGGATTCCCTTTTGTATGAGTATTTAGGTAGAGGTATTAAAAGCCAAATTTTTCAGAAAGTGCGAAAAGTGCTCTTTTTGCTAAGTTGAATTAAAATTAAAAAATCCACAAAACGAAAAAAGTTTCAGAGGAGGAAAACGTTTTGAGGTTAGAACTTTTAAGAGATTATTCGAAAACCACAATCACATATACAATAACACGCTTTCAAACAATATTTACAAACCACTGACTGGACTGAATTTCCAAAATTGCACTGCGTTGCTTAACTTTCACCTTTTGACAATTTAAGCTATTGAGAAAAATATACGATTTACCCACACTGCCATCTCGATAACATAACAGTGATGCGCTGATTAATCTTTTTTGTTAGTAACATTTAAGAGCGATGATATCCTTATACATTGTGATAACAAAACCAATTTCTAACTAACCTTTAAAAAAAGGTTTTGGCCAAATAAGTGGCCATATTCCCCACGTTGCAATGTTTTCAAAAAATCCCTAAAAGCATGCATATTTAACGTCTTTGTAAATGTTGTTTTCAAAGGTAAACATTTTAAATTGCCTAAAATAAATAATTTCGGATTTATTGCAATTACATACTTTATTTATTGAATGCAACTCGATCAATCGTTTTTACGTACAACAGCTCAGCACACGTGAGTCATATGTGCTGCCATGCTTTAAACTATTTATGTGTTTTTACAGCGCATTGATATATTATACTTTCGTTTTCAAATGTCAAACTACAATATTTCCTCTTGGCTTTCTCCAGAAAACTCTTCTTAAAAGCGCGTTTTTGTGTCTGAGTGTATTTCTTTTCGTTCTACTTTAGAAAAATATATATGTATGCTGTTATATATTATGAAGTAGCATTTTCAGATTATATGGACTGGGTATAAATTTGTATACAATTCTCGCTTGTTTTTCTTCACTTCTCACTAGTGTGATTAACAATTTTATTTTGTTCTTAAAGTACAGTAAATGTCATAAATGGAAGTAAAATTCATTAAGAGTTCTCAACGGGTTCATTGGGATCGTGTTCTTTAAATAGTTTACACAATAAAAGTGATTAAAATCCAGAGTCACCCATTAAGTTTCAACTTTAATTTGATTTGTAATTTTACATTGACTCTTGGTCCTCTAAGAGAAATAAATAAAAAGAAATTGTATGAACACCGAAACTTGGCGAAGTTTAAATTTTAAACAGAATAATAATAAAAAAAATTGTAAAACAAATTTTCGTCTTCGATGAAAAGTCAGCTTGTACAGCAATGAACTTGTAAAATTTGTAAAATGTTAATAGGACTGTTTGAGGGGTTGGGTGGATCCGATTTATCTATGTATGTATTTCTCCTATGTAAGGCAACCTCATCCAGTGCTGGGCAATCAAGTATTGAAGCGTCGAACAAGCAAACAAAAATGTAGTTTTATGCATAAATAAATTTTTTGCGTGTATTGTAAATGTTTCCGTTTCGTTTTTTACGCTTCTTGGTTTAGTACTAGTATGTAATAGAGATATTCTTAGTACGACTTTTACAAATTTTCAATTAAATTAAACTATGTTTAAACTTAAACATTAAATAAAGGCTCGCCTGAAGCGAACGCTGTTCTTTATAATTCCATTTGTATGTTGATTTAGCTGCCGTTGCACATTATTGATTTGCTTCGCTGGCCATTTGCTAAACCACAAACGAAATACAGTTTTCCGGCACAACTCATCGCCATGTAATATCAAAGAACATAAATCAGTAGACAGATTCGATACGATAGAGAATTAGTAACATATGCCGGGCAACCAGACCCGTAAGGCGAGGGAACTCAAATGGAACGCAATGGGTCTGCCTGTGACTTGTGTGAGTGAGTGTTTACGGGTCAACTAAAAATCTAGAAAAAGTATAATATTCGTCGGAACGTTAGGTGTATATCTTGAAATTCAACATTAACGTAGTTGGCAAAATGATACAATTGTGCATTCGCATTTTCTTATTCACTTAAGAGCACGCTACCGAGCAGTTATTACACCATGATACAAATGGAGATGATGATGGAGGCGCAGTTACGGATCTACGGACATGCTGCGAGATGGGCTCCACATGCCTGATGAGAGATGTTGTGATGAGTGTGTGCGATTTTACAGCAACATAAAATACATTCCGGGTAATCCGCGGGTTGAGTTTAACTACTACCACCTTGTCCCTTGCCGTAGATGAGCTCCTCGCAGATCTTAAGCAGGTCGGCGTTCTCGCGCGACTTCTGCTGCAGCTGCTCCGTCATCGACACCCGCGAGATCTCCTCCTTCTTGAGTAAAGCTTTCAGTTTTTTCGACTCGTCCGCATGTTCCCTCGCGTAGGTGTCCAGCTTTTTGTTGGCACTAGGTCAGTGAACATATTTGTTAAGTCGTCGCTTTTAAAAGTACACCAATAGCTTACATTTCCAACTGTTGCATGGCATGGTTTTTCATCTTGTCGTAGCGCTGTTCCTGCAACCGCAGATTGTCCATCATCTGCCTTCGCTCCGCCAGGAGAGACTCCTCGTTGTTTTTGAGCTGCGTGGTCATCTCTTTGCTCTTTTCGTATTTTCTGCAATAACACCACGGTAAGTAGGTTGCTAAAAGAAGTAATACCTGCTTCGTTGAGACGGTGCTTACACATGCAGATCGGAGAATGTCGTTTCCAGCGACGTTAAGTGGTGGTAATTGGCGTCTCGGTCTGCCTGCACTTCCTGTAACTGCCTCTCGTGGAGCTGCGCTTGCTGCTCCTTCTCACTGATCAGCTCCGCAATGGCCTTCTCATAGGCCTCGATGACACCGCTAAAACAATGGAACAACATTAATTACGTACATATATAAAACAACAGATTGGGGGTTGGTTTACTTTTGAACAAATACCCGTTTATACAAATATAATTTTTTTTGGATAGCATATAATTTAAACAGATCAGTTTTCATTTTGGAAGTGATGGAGATAAAGACCAGATAAACTTGTCGTTGGTCAAATCCGTTTTTTCGACTACTTTAATTTATCTGAACGAGAAACAGGCATAAGTGCTGCTAATTACAAAAGTGAGCCTTAAAACCAACACAGGGCTTTATTTAATTATTGCATCAGCTTTTAAGGTTTCGCATATGTTTAAAATAAAAAATGTCCATCTTATTACGGTGTGAAATCACCTGTCATTTATCGAGCTAAAAATTCTTAGCAGGGATTCTGAGTCCCTGTGAGAGTTAACTCTCACATGGAAACTTATGAAAACCAAATTGATTCTTATTCTCCAAATTTTTTTTCAAAAGTAATTCATGCTATGCATTAAAAAAAAGTATAACCAAAAAAATTAAAAAATGATTTTATGGGCACCTTGCAAATATATGTATGTATAATCATCATTTAACAGAGGAGCAGGACTCACTTTAGTTTTGCATTTATTTTGTCTTTTTCTGTTATACGTTTAATCAGCGCTTCTTCGCGTTGTTCTCCTTCCTTCAGCTTCTTCTCAATGTCTTCAGACCGGGTCCTAGAAATGAACAGAGCTATAGTTGGCATTTAGTATAATTAAGACCATCTTACACTTCATTTTTGATTTTCTTCTCTAGCTCATCCATATTGTTGTAGTTTATGGTCTTATCCTCCGTGTTCAGGCTGAAATAAAATAATACAGTAAATAATATGGGACTCAAAGATAATTCACCTGTTACTCACTTGAATTATCGAAGGTCTTGTTGCAATCGTTATCAATGACGTCCACACTCATTTTAACATGCTTCTGCGGAAATTTAAATTATTAGTCAGTTCACCGAGCTCGGAGTAATCGTGTTTTCAAGAAAGCACGTATAACTATTGATGTACATAATGTATAGTCTTGATTTGTTTATGGCTTACTTTTGTCCTATCCACAGGTGGCTTAAAGTCCAATTTCTTGGCGGTATCTTTGGCACTGGATACTGTTCCAAATGATTGGTTGCCGCCACTTGTCTCGTGCTCCTCCAATGTGGGACTGAGGATCCTGTTCTGGTTTGCTCCCAAAATGTTCAGAAGAGCCTGCTCCTGCTGATTGAGATGATTAACCGGCACGGGAGCTCCAAGAAGAGGATCGAACTTCAGCAGCAACGAACTACGGTCGATGGGGGCATTATTGCTGCCTTTCGTGTACAAATAATCAAAATCTGATGAGTTCAGTATTACTGTGATGGTTTTCGATGATTGTTGGTGTAGATGGGTATGTTAGATGAGTGCATGCGCGTGCATTGTTGTTTTGTGAGGAAAAAGAAGAAATACAAAACAATAGTTAGTCACTGGCTTTGACGGCACTCTTTCGTATCATATTCAGTTTAATTCAAATCAACGTCAACGTCAAGGTTTTCCACTTTGACCTCCTCCCCTCTTCGGAAATGGACCATTTTTATGAAAGGTTAGGAAGGAAAGTACATATGTGGAAAGGAGAATGGATAATACGCCCCTTAAAAAAGAAATGCATAAAAGTATTACATGAAGCTAACACAAATAAGTGGGAACATATAGAGAGGGAAACAAAGGAAAAAAAATAAAGCAAAATTGATTCTTGTTTATATTTTAAGTAACATATCTTTTTGAATAATCTCATTAAAGTGATTTACATTAATAACACATACCAATCTCAACTACTATCTTGTCCAACTTCTTTAACTGACAACTTTAACCATTGCTAATCTCTTTAATTTTAAATTGGCTTGTTTTCATTATCATTGAACCACCTGTTTTTATCTTTAATGATTATTTGCCTTAGTAACTGTGCACTATCAGTTTTATTCTTCTACTTTTCTTTTCGCGCTGTCTTTAATTTTTAATGCTTGGAAATATAAAACTTTATTATAATAAAATACATATGGGAAAATTCTGATCTAAGCATTTCCGTTTTCTAAGTTGACAATGATATGTATTGGTTAATGTGTACTTTTGCAGGTTTGAAAATTTGTCTTTCTAAAAGTTTTTTTCTGACTGCCTCACGATAAATGGAAGAACGATGACAAAAAAGAAAATGTGATATGGCATGACTCAAAGCGAGTATCCTCCCCATTCAACCCCATGTGCCCCAACCCAGATCCCGAGGGGCACGAAAATGAGGTGTGCCTGCTCTGCATAGAAGCCGGAAAGTTTTCGTCACAATGCACACAAAAAAAAGCATTAAGTTCAAGAGATTTAAAAATTTAAATTAATATCAAACCGGCTTTTTATTATTTTTTACTTTATATACAAAATAGCCGTTCGTGGTGGTTTTAGTATACAGATTTAAGATCAAGATAGTTCTGCGACAACTAAGATAGTATCATGACCGAGGTGGAACCTTTTGTTTCAGTACACACGGGTATGGATTGGAGAGAATACATAAACAAATGCGAAACCCAGCGACGGTCGGCTTTAAAAATAGTGAGAAACCCGGGCAGGCCCAGATTTTAATGGAGGTCACAACCGAAGGCTGGCATGTAGTGCAGCTTTAGTTTTATGCAGTTTTCAGTTTATAAAACAGCGAACCAAAACAAAACAAAGGGAAACGACGGCTCGTGAGTCATTTTATGCAATCGACAAATGGTTTCCGAAAGTGGGTTGATTGAAGGAGAGGAGAACTGGAGAGAGCAGGAGCGAGAGAGCGCTCTTCGCATTGCGCTGCATTTCAACTGCGTGTCTCAGACAAGGTTTGCATTCTCAAGATTTTTCACTGTTATTCACATAATAGTGTTAGCCGTGACCACGGAGCGCCCGAAAAACACCCACACGTATTTTACAAAGCACACCAACACGCAGAGCGAATCACACAATGAAACTTCACGCTCTCACTCTCATATTTTTTTTCTTAGTGATTCGGGGACTTGTCTTCCGTCTTTATTTATTTATTTGTTGTTTTTCTTCTGCACAGCTGCTGGATACTTTTCCGATTTCCAGCTCTTCTTGCAGGGCAAACCCAAAGAAAGTGCTCTCTGGCCCTGGTAAACAAACAAATAACTCCGATTCTGTGTTTTAAAATTTACTTTTGCGATTTTACAGCTCGACCATCCCCACGATTGAACGGCCGTAGGACTCCGATAGATATAGCGACGTCAGATGTTGAAAACTAACTGAAATGGAATTTCTTATTGCTTACATTTCTCTCCGCAAGTCCAATAAGAAAACCAGCGCACGCACGCGAGCGAGCGAGAGGGCGACAGGCGAGCCTGAATTCTGACTGGAGTGTGAGATAGTGACGCGTATTCAGCAGTCAGCAAGTGCGCAGAGAGAGCTACTGCTACAGAGAGTGAGCGCTGTGTACACGTTGTCTGTTTGGAGTTGTGCACCGTCCGCCCCATCCCACCCCCACCCACAGGCCCTGACTAGCTATCTCGCTCTGCTGCACCTGAGTGCAAGACGAGTTCTAAGTTGAATTCCTATGCGCTTGGGTATTAGTGTGTGCGAGTGGGAGAGAGCATTCGATAGGTCACAGTGGGACGTCGATACTAAGAACATTGATCTGTCAGTCTTCCTACAGATTTCTTAAAACAATTTTAAGCCACGCTCAATCCAGTTTAAGACTTCTGCAATTTGATTAAAATTTATTTTTTAAACCCAATTTCCTATGCTGACTAGGCATGATCAACAGTTGTTGACAGCTTTAAAATACATGTATTTCCTTCCGATCATTACTTTAGTTAAATCGTAAATTTATTTTTCAGTCAAATTATCATTTAGAATTAATGTATGTATAATCATGGATCAATTAAGGATTCCAAGATTTGGTTAAATACCTTGAGGGGGTCAACCGTTTAGATAGGGGAGTTTTATTCATCCTCTTACTCGGATAAAATCCGTAAAATATTTATTTTCAATCACAGCAAAACCAAGTTGTGGATGCTATATATGTATGTTGTATACGTCACAATCATAATTGATGATATTTGATGTTCGACGTTCTTACAGATTAGCATTTATCGAGTAGACACTGCATTTTACTGTAGTTGCTATGATTGCAGAGAGCGATTGTTTGAGTGTGGGTAATATTCAGAGATGCATTTGTCTAGTCAGCGATAACGATAAATTAGGCACCTATTTCGAAAATGACACCGAAGAAATAAAGGAAAACACTTTGAATAAGTAGACAAAAATTACCAATATACTGTGGAAATTACCCAAAATATAAATGCGCTCATCGGTCACAAATACTCAAATACTCATGCCTATCGAGCTGAAAAAAAAACAAAGTCTGTCAGAGTTTCTTCAATTAGACAAAGTGACGTCACAGCGAACAAAGTGCTTCTTCTTATTACCCGCATTTTAATTCGCGTACGATATTGTGCTGATAAGGTCTGTTAACGACACAGAGAGAGCTAAGAAAAAAAAGAGAGTTCCAATGGAATGGGAGGAGAAAGTACCATTGAGTGGGAGCGGCGAAGAGAAATAAAGAGAGAGAGCGCAATGCGGTATTTTCCATCAGTGAGCAGCAAAAATGCATTTGTAGCAAAAAAAAACAATAACAAAAAACAGGAAATGGGAACAAAACGTGCAAACATAAAACATGTAGTACTAAAAATCATTTTTCATACTCCCTAGTCTGTGAATCATACAATTATGCTAGTTATGGGCGATGTGCTGATCTGACTTTGAGTTTTTACCCGTGTTTTCCCTTTCCTAATTTAAAGTTCAGGTTCATTGCCTTGGATGAGCTTGTGGGTTTATTTTTACAGTTGGACATCGCCGCGATAGGGGAAAAAAAACTATATGTGCATACAAATGTAAGTCCTCGAGTTCAAAGCGCCCATATTATTTCAAGTTCAAAAGTTTATGGGTGGGTTTTCGTAATGGCTGGTGATGTAAGGTCACGAACATGCAAAGGATTCATGGGCACAGTAGAACTCGTGTTAGCAGGAACTACGGTTAAACTTTTTTAGCATGATATGAAGGGATAAAAACAAAATTGATTTTTGGGCCGAATTTATATATACATATGTACCTAATCTTTTAGTTGATTGATTTTGTCTACAATACCCAATATTACATTGACTGGTACACTACAATACCCGATATTACATTGACTGGTAATACGATAGCCGCAAATTTTCTATACATATCCTAAAAATATTAAAAAATATTGTTTTGACTTACAGTTTTGGTTGCTGGCGCCATCCCGGAACTCTGCATCAAGGACCGGCTCCTCCTCGCCAGCTGCTTCTCCCCTCTGTCTGCTCATTACAGAAGCAGTTTTTCCTATTTCTCCAGCAGAATTGGCCTTAATCTTCGCTTGGTTGTTGAAGCCACTGCTGGTATACTGCGGGGTCTTGAACATGTCATCCGAAACAGGAGATATGGCACCAAAGTGCTCTACAAACACATCGTCCTTTTCATCGCTAGCACTTAGAGTGGCTTGCTCCTTGGCGGACAGGGCTTGCTCCTCTAGGACAACGGTAGCATTTCCAGGCGGCGAGACCGGAGAATGCGCCTCATGGATGGCGGCTCTTTTGAGATTTTGGTAGGTGGGAATCGGTGGCGAATTTAAAACTGGTTCTTGGGATTTCTTATAATTTTGCTGAGGTGACTTTATCACGGTTACCTCATCCATCTTCATAGAGACATCCACATCCATGGCATCACCAGCAATTATATCCTCGGTAGCCTCAATCGCTGGAGAAGCATTTTGATCCAAGCAGAAGGTACGGCGTGGATTTTCCTTGCAGAAAGTCCTGCGAGATTTGTCCTCCTCCTTTTCCGCAGTGGACTGAATCACCGAAAAAGTTCGTCGCTGATGATCCCCGACCGATTCAAGACTTACAGCAAATGTGGAGGAACCCTCAAAATCTGCTGTATCCGCCTCTAATTTTGTATCCCTTATCTTGCCGCTGTCGAAGGTACCATTTAAGAGTATGGGCGAATGCTCGCTCATGGGCAAGGTTTTGTTGAGATGTTCCTGCTTCTCCGGACTCGGTTGAGTTATCGCAATAGCCACTGCTGATTTAGCGATAACTCCAGCTTCAAAAACGCTTTGCTTGCGATCCAAAGACGGTTCAACCACAGCCTCCTCCAAGTAGGGCATATCTTCCAGCTCCGGTGGAGCATGAGGCGAGCGAGGGAAGTGGGACGGTTTCTCCACTGGTCCTCTAATGGGGAAACTAGGCGAGGTCGGTTCCGAGTTGCATGCCGTGCTACCGCCAAGATCCAAAGACAAGGGCGTCATAGAACGCTTTTGTGTGGGGGTGACTACTACAACCGTAGAGGGGTGATGCTGTTGCTCCTTCACTCCCACTTTCTCCAACTCTGGAATCTGTATTTTCATGGTAACTGATTCTCCAGGATTAAATCATCAGGCAAAGGCAACTCCCTCAAAGCCAGAAATTCTAGTTCTTCGGCGGTTTTTGGACGATGAGTGGGTATGGGCGGAGAAAGAGCCAGCTCCTCCATTTTGGATTGGGGCGTCGGTATAGGGGGTGACAGCGGAGCTGGCGGTGGCTCCACATTAATGCATTTCAATGAATCTTCTTGCTCTGCAATGTTCTGATCCAATTGATGGTTCTGAGAAGGCTGTTTTATTAAATCCGTTTCTTTTTCTTTGAAAACGTTTAAGGTGGTATGGTTGAAATAGGTGCCTGCGATTCCAATTGATTCTGTCGAGGTGACCTTATCACCGAGGCATCATCCACTTTCATGGACTCATCCACTTCCATGGGCTCAAACTCCTCCTCAGTTATTTTCTCCTCGGTGGCCTCCACAGCTGGTGACGCATTTTGTTCAAGGCAGAATTCTGCTTCTTTCATTTCAGATCCCTTGATTGTTTCTACTGACACTGAAGTTATCTGGTCTTCATCCCGATCATCTTCCGATGGGCGTTCTAGAAGCTCATGAAAATTCAGGGGCGCGTGAGAATTTTCTGATTCCGGCCGCGGCGCGTTATGGATAGGATCTTGAACGTCCAGTATATGTAATACTTCTTCGGAACTTTGTTGCTGTGTTTCCTGTGCTGCATTCTCCTGATTTTCTTCCCTCTTCTCAAACTCTTGTTTCTTTAGGTCCCTTGAACAATCGAATTCAGTCCGTTGGGATGGTTCATTAGCCTGCTCAGACTGTCCTGATTCTCCAGGGGGCGATCCTTCAGTTCGACTTATAAGTTCCTGTTCTTTATCCAACTGTATTTGCACAACGGAGAACCCTTCTATCCTCTCCTGCTCCTGTTTCCCTTGATCCTGCTTAAGATTCATCTCTGCGATAGACTGAGTTTTGCTAAGCATTTGCTGTTGTAATAGCTCATGGTCTTCGGGACACAACACATCTTTTAACATTTCCATGGTTTCGTTGATATCATCCACATCCATAGCTTCATAGCTGACGTTGTTGTGCTGGCTGACAGCCAAAGGATCTTCGAATTCGTTCTCCATTGTAGCGACCGAGGTCATGGACAACTGTTGCTCTAGCACATCATTAAGGGCACTTGAATATGCCTCCAATTCAGAGCGATCTCCCGTGTACCGCTCACTGTGAAGCGATAAGCACTCCACGAAAACATCCGAGTCCGAATGGTTTGACTTCAGTTGAGCTGTGGGAGTAATAAAAGTAAAGTTTAAACTGAAAAACAAGAATGAACGCTATAGTCGAGTGCCTCGACTATCATATACAAGTAATTCGTCTAACCAATATAACTTTTAGCCAGGGCTCGAAAATAACTGTTATTCAAAGAAACTGGAAACAAAAAATTACGAATTATTTTTAATTTTAATAAAAATCAAAAATTAAAAAGACATGTTCTGACACATTTCAACAACTAAAATAAAAAGACTTTTATTCTTCAACAATTAAAACAAAAATCGTTGCCCATATAGCGAACTGGCCAAGACAGAACTATAAAATGTAGCCTATGGGTTGTTCTTAATTATTATCAAATATTTTTTAATACACTGCCATTTTAAATAATGCATTTCATTTAATACTTAAACGTATATGGAACGTTCCATATCAACCCGTCCAATCTGTTTTTTTTTAAGTGCGGTTTAATACCTTGAGATCTAAGCACATCATTTTCAAGATTTATCCTCATACCTATTTCGACAATATTACCACTCTTTCGCCGATTATCCACGTAAGATAGTTTATACTAAAACTATTATATCTGGCGAACGGAAAAACGAGTTATACAAATCAAAATCAAGTGGACTTGTCTTAACATGTCCAATTACGGGAAAAATAGTTAATTTTTTTAGACATAGATGACCCACACAATAGCATATTTTATGTCTTAAAGAAGGATTCTAGAAAAAGGGCCAGACAGAAAAATACCATTTTATTTTTCAAAAAAAAACTCCCACTTTAACGCTTTTTATTTAACTTGTTTCGAAATGGGATACTTGACAAATAGTTATTTATGATTTTATAAAATAAATTGTTTTGTATTGATCCGTTGTCCCATTTTTTCGAGTTTTTACGACATCAAGAGACGCTTGACAGTCACGAAATTGATTTTAAAAATTCCACATTTTCAAAGTTTGCCAAGAGTTTGCTCACAATGTACTCGACGTTGTCTATTATTTTATTCGGCAAAATTAAAGGGTGGCGTTATTGTTGTAATCTAAAATACATATCACCTAAATTGGTTTAGCCGAACTCGAGTGTACAAATCAAATACATAAATAAATAAAATCAAAAATACAAAAAAAGTATCCATTTAAAATATTTTGTACTTCTATATCGGGATCTTCTACCAGGAACTACCATCCTCTATTTTTGGGAAGTTTCAAAATTTTATTTATCAAACTAGTGTTATTAAAGCATCTTATGCCTTAGATACATTAAAATATATGAGTCTTTCAAAAAAGTGCGCGACACTGCTCTTAAGGAATTAAAAAATTGATTGTGTTACCTTAGGAAGTGAGCAATTTAGGAGTTAACTATTCAGGAAATATAAATTATAAGGCAGTGAAAATTTTAGGTACAAAATGGAACGGATAATCCTAGAATTTTTAAATATTTCAGAAAAACTTTTATACACTTCGTCTAAATGTGACTTGGTCAGGCGGTTTGAAATTTTACTCATTGAAATAATTATATTCAGACTTTTATAATATTAATTTTAAATAACTATTATATATGCATTTTTTAGTTAAAACGTATAACCGTTAAGGTCTCTGCTTAACTAACAGTGGGCGATGGAGTAGGCGTGGAAAAGTTTTTAAGATCAATCGATAGTTATTGACGTTAAAAGCGTTCGCACGGATAGAGGGAAATGGCCAGACCGACCCTACCATTGATTCTGATCAAGAAATATAGGTCATATACATAAATTCGAAAACGAATAATATTCATTTAAGACAATATACTCTACAAGTAACTAATCCGAGTAATAATTAAAAATTATCTTTTTTAATAAGTGGACATAACTACATCGGTTTCGCTATTGACGTACCCTTAAGTTTAAAATACTTTCATGGTTTAAAACTCTAAATATGTCAAATTAATCTTTGAAGATATTTTATTAAATTAATCTTTTAAGATATTTTAGGACTAAAAACATTTTCGTTTAAATGCTGTTGCTGTCGTTCAATGCTCACCCTCCATTTCGGCACTTAAAGGAGCCAGTTCTGGTATTTGCGTCTCATCGAACTCGGGAAGCCCTCCGAATTTTGGAACCGCGTCCACATCCAGCTTGAGGCAACCTGTTGCCACCGTCTGATGGCCCAGAGCAGCGGCCAGAGCCTTCTGTTGTTCCATGCTTGATGGCTTGGGACTGGGCTTCACCGCCAGCGGACTCATCTGCCAAACAAGAGGTGCATAAAATGCATGAAAATTAATTAGAAATTGTGCATCGCGTGCGGCATGATTCGAAAGAAAAGTATAAAAATTAAGGTGGGCAAGGTAGGGAAAAACAAACATAATGCAAACAATTGGCAGACGAATAACAACCGATGACGGGTTTGGGATGTAAAATATGATCACGGGTAGCAGCTGCCTGGGAATTTAATTTGCAATTCTTGACACATTGCTTGACATAAATAGGGCGCATCTGGGATTTCGGTTGTCTGTTTTACGGAATAAATGCCCTTTACCTAATGTTTACACTTTTGTGCCATTTTTGCATATTATTTTCTTAAAGTATCACCAAGTATCGTAAAAAAATTTGTGCATGGCTACGAAGGCAAATGTCATATAACTTATATTTTAAGCCTAATGAGGTTTATTCTGTTCTAAATGTTTTTTAATAAAGCAAAACCATAAACAAAAATAAATATCTCACAGAGAGAGTGGCAAGCAATCTTTTCGATACCCCCACACTTGGCTAAGTGAGAGCACACATTCGAAATAGTCGTCGCAGTCGGTCAGTCGACAAGCAGTCATTAATTTAAAAGCTAGCCAAGACGTGAGAAATCGGGGATATGGGGGAGATGGACGTGAAACTGGGCCGGCGTCAGCTTTTGTGCAATGTGAAATGAACATACGGCGGATTCAATGTGACCGGGCCGGGCCAGGCCGCCATGTTTTCTGTCTATTCACGGTTTGGGTGCAACGTTCTACTCGCGAAATTTAATTAGAACGCATTACAGTACAATGATTGCGGCAAGGTTAAAGTCAGAGAACACGACGAATGGGGGCAAGTGTGGGCCAGATTATGGCGCACCATTGGGAGTAGGGTAAGGGGGGAACTAAAGGAATATCGATAAGTAAAACCAAACTTAAGACTAAAATAGCAAAAAAGGAATCTAATTAACAAAGAACCATTTTTTGCAAACAGGAAAACAAAAAAAAATATATATATTTGGTTTCAACAATGCACAGGGTATTATATGTAGTTTCAGTCAGAAGTTTGCAACGCAGTAAATGAGTCTTTTCAGATTTTAAAAAGAATATAGACTCTTAAGCATCATTAAAATCCGAGTCTATATAGACATTCCCGTCTGTTCGACCCACCACCTCCAAACAAACAGTCTATCAGATCAGAACGGAATGCCTCTACAATCAGATACTCTGTGTCAAACTGTATATAAAAAAAAAAGGGAGTAACCTTGTTCCAACATTTGTGATATCTTTAGTTAAGTTGAGTATAGTTCAGACAACAAAGATTTAGGATTCGCTGCTATTAAATTTTAAAATCAAACCATAAGAAAGAGTTATAGCTAAGTAGAGTATTTAAAACACAATTTACAAAACCTTTAGTTGTGAAATAAAGTAGACAAATACACTATGTGAAATTTTCTTTTTTAACAAAATGTTTAAGCATTCTCCCACACGGTAATTATACCCGTTACTCGTAGAGTAAAAGGGTATACTAGATTCGTCGGAAAGTATGTAACAGGCAGAAGGAAGCGTTTCCGACCCCACAAAGTATATATATTCTTGATCAGGATCACTAGCCGAGTCGATCTAGCCATGTCCGTCTGTCCGTCTGTCTGTCTGTCCGGATGAACGCTGAGATCTCGGAAACTATGTGAGCTAGGCTATTGAGATTTGGCGTGGAGATTCCTGAGCTTCTTACGCAGCGCAAGTTTGTTTCAGTAGACTGCCACGCCCACTCTAACGCCCACAAACCGCCCAAAACTGTAACTCCTACAGTTTTGATGCTAGACAAAAAATATTAACTGAAATGTATTGTTCTCATCAATACCTATCGATTGACCCAAAAAAAGTTTGCCACGCCCACTTAAACGCCCACAAACCGCGAAAACCTGTGACGCCCACAATTTGCATGCTAGATAAAAAATGTTAGCTGAAATGTATTGGTGTCGTCAATACCTATCGATTGATCCAAAAATAAATTTGCCACGCCCACTCTAACGCCCATAACGCTTAAATCTGTCTACCGCCGGTAGGTGGCGCATTTTAATTTCGCTTTGCTGCTTGCATATCTCCATTTCCCTTTGAGTAACGGGTATCTGATAGTCGAGGTACTCGACTATAGCGTTCTTCCTTGTTTTAACTTGTTTTTCTTCCTTTGTTAAAGTATTTTTTTCTATGTTACAATTAAAATTGAAAGGTTTTTTGAACGACTCACATTTCCCTTAATTTCGAAGAAATGTAGGTACCGAAAACAATGTCGTTCAATTTAAAGAATTTAATAAAATTAGTCACACAAAAATCTTCACAAATTGCAGTGATTTTAGGATGGGTGTGCTTTTTTTAACTTAAAAACAGATCATTTATCATTATTTGCAGTCCCTGATTTTTGTTCAACCTCAAAAATTGTCAAACTTGGTTTGAGAATGAACAACAAGACTAACAGCAGAATAAGTCTTTACGGAAATGCATATGGGCAAATCGAAAAATGGTCAAGCAGGACCGAAACAAAAAATCTTCATAATCATCGTATTTTTTGCGTATTTTCACAAATAAATGGCCATATTTTCATATTACAGTGGAACCAAAGCATATTTCATTTGTTTTGTTGAAGAAATTCCCCTGAAAACTGAAAAAATTAACCTTTTCCATTTCTAGCTACTGTAAAGGCATTTTTATGATTCATTATTTCGCAAGGAAAACATATGAATTGTTTGAACTTTTTCCACCAAACCTCTTTATTGCAATCTAATAAGAAGATAAAAACCCAAAAAAGGCAAAAAAATTTTCAATTAACTGTTAATAAAACAACATGGAAAAATCGTACCGTTCGCGACCGGTACTTAATTCAACAAAAAAAAAAAACAAATGGAAATATTTCCTTGGGATCAGACCGAATGAAAGCTACAGAATCCATTTTAAAAGTAAAGTTATTGCTTTAGAATATTCCAACCCAATTCGCAGATATTTGCATTGTACTAGATAAGCCAAAGTCGACTTCCATTTTGTGTACGTTCGCGACCGCATGTTTTTTGCCAATATTATGAAAATTATAGCTCAATAGATCCAATCATTTACACTAAGCTAAGAGCTAACAAATTGCTATCGAACAGCAAAAAAAAAATTGCGAAAACGATTATTTTCTTTTTTTATTTGCACTAAGTGCGTACGACCGTACGTTCGCGACCCCTGGAAATGCCCATATGATACATTATGAATGCGGTCGAAAATATCTCCGTTACTGTTTGACAATCATCTGACTAAAATTAGAACACCCTCTGCAAGGGTAAAAATAAATCGTATAAAACGAGCATCAAGAAGAGTAACTCAATAAACACGCAGTTCACTCAGTGTTATATTTTTGGGGACATACCTCGCCACTCATAGCCTGTAAGTGCTCCATTTCGTTAGCACTAACTTGGTTAAGATTCACGTTTATCTCGCTTAAGAGTTGCTGGATAGTTTCTCTACTACTGCTGTTTTCGGAGGCTGCCAGTGGGATTGAATTGGGCTCCTTCAGGAGAATGCAGTGCTGCTCCTCCAATTGCAGTAGATCTTCTGCGGCAGACTCCAGAAGCGTGCCCAGGTGCAAGGAGATAGGAGAATCTCCTTCATTATCCCTTGGTGAAGGATGTTTATCTTCTGATGCTTCCGTTGCCGCTGGTTGAGTGGTGGCAATGCCAGTGGTAATGCCATTATCCCTTGGTGAAGGATGCCGAACTTCTGATGCTTCCATGGCCGCTGGCTGAGTGGTGGTAATGCCAGTGGTGGCGATGCTCTTGGGCCTTTTGATTATACTCGCGATGAAGTCCATGACGCTCTACGCACGATTAACTCCGGAGACTCGTTATGGTTCACTTGATTCCATAAACCGATGGATCGATAGAAATTCTTGGTTGGTCTTTAATGTTTTTTCCTTTTTTCGGGATTTGCGTGTGACACAGATTTTGGCTCGCCTACTCGGTAAATTTCTACTGTGATTTTTCGCCGTCATCTCTTCTATTATATTGGGTAACACCGCCGGGATTCTCGCGACCCGCCGCAGCGTACGTTTCTCACTAGTTCCCGATCTTGTCTGTCTTTGAAATCAATTTAAAAATATTTTCATTTTCAATTTGCTTTGCTCCGCTCAGCGGCACACAAGCACAAATGTTTTCGGGCAAGAGAGTGTGGGGAACCGACAGAAAGAGAGCTAAATTTTCAATGGCATCCACATAACGATCCGGATGTTTTTGTATGACTATGAGTTTGGATCGCTTCTAGCAGTAATGTCGGTTCTCCCTTTATCAGTACGGACCCCTCTCTTTTTCTCGAGCAATCTCCTCCCGCTCTTTTAATACTTATAACGGGGAGGACAGAGTCCCCAACATGTGAGATATGGGTCTTACCTTTTCTTCAATATGCTTAATCAATATTATGTATTGAAGAGGAAAATAGTTTTAATTAGACACTAGAATAATCGAATAATCCCAAATCATGCAAAGCGTTTTACATACAGATGCGGCTTTGATTTCCTATAAAACTGACATTAAAATAAAGCGTTGAAAGTGTATTCATTTTTTACTACTACATTTTAAACATTCATCTGACGTTCTAAAAACAGCATCGTTTTAAAATGTGGTAGTAAAAAAATTATTACATTAGCAACGCTTGATTTTAATGTCAGTTTCTATGAAATAAAACATTCGCTTCATAGAAAAAATCCGTGGTAGGAAAAACGATTTTGAGTGTTTGACAATGATGCTAGCACTTTAAACACACAATTTCATCTAACTATAAAATATCGATAAAAATCAAAAAAATGTGTTGGGTGCTGAAATAATCGCCAATTTTTTGGTCAGGACATAATTCTTCCAACAAAGCTTTTATTTTTTGAGTTTTTGAAGTTATTCACGCACGCGCACTCTACCAGTGGGTTTCGGCCTGCTTACATGGAAACTATTTTCAATAGCTAAGATTCAGTGGTAACGATCCTTTGGTAGTCGAAAGGTGAAACATGCATGTTTACCGAATCTAAATGGTCCTTCTGTGTGTGTTATTATATGTTATAAAGTTTTATAAAGATTTGCTTTTCAATCTAAGCCGATTCTCAATCTGAGTTAGCAAAAAATACTATTCACTATTTAAAAAATTAAAATATTAATGTATCTTATGATTCCCTTTAAAAGTCCCATTTCTGCAATGGAATTGTCGGTTTATGTTCAAGCGTAACATTTAAATGTTTTGGATTTTTGTGATAGTCTTCACTTGGACCGCCCTGCTTAATTGGCACGTAATTTAGTGCAATGCATACAGTGCGGGCGCCAGATGACAACCTTCTGGTCTGAACTGCAGTAGAAAACTGAAAAACTAGTCAAGCCTTAGTCAATTCAGACTGAAATGCAGCAGTGAAAAACGCAAGACCCCGCAAAAAAGCTAAAACACTTAAAGAGGGGAATAGAAAACGGGGGAAAACGAAATTAGGGCAACAGACGACTGAAAGTCTTCGCCAAACAGCTGGAGCTCCAGCCTGGTACCCACATATATTTTTTAGATTTATATTTTAAAAATTTTTAATTCCTTAAAAATACACATTAAATTTTCATTTTTTTCGGAATTTTCAGTTATAAAACTGGAAATGTAACATAGATGCAAGGAATTTAAGATATTTTTTGCGGTGTAGCCCTTGTGGATGCCAAGTGACATGCAATCCCACTGCCATTGTTGCGCATCACGGCGCACTATCTGCAAGTCGAGTCGAATCGAATCGAGGAAGTACTCCACATTGTCCAACGGCTGACTTAGCATATTTGGCGAGAAAATCTAAGCACTGAAACGGAATCCCACACGATGGGCCTTGACGAGGTGGCAATAGTTAGATGTTGCCTTTACCAATGCGTGACAGGTGACAAGGTATCAAGTTTAGAAACCAAACAGAGCTTCTCAACGAATATCTTTAATTACATATTATTGTTTTAGATTTGTTTTTACCTCTGATCTATCTTGAGGTCTTTGTATGCTATTACTATTATTTTAAAAATAAATAAAAAGATTATATAAAATAAGGTAAAACAAATTTAAATGTATGATTTGTCGGAAAATAACTGAATGAAATACACACAAGAGTTTTGGTTGTTTATAGTCGGGGACTTGAATTTTATACGTGGCACATGGGATTACTGTATAAAGTTGGAATAGGAAACTTTGACGGAAATTCGAATACTCTCTGCAACAACATAGGGGAAATTAAAGCAAACAAATATTGGAGAAAAGACAACTATAAACTGAACTATAAATAGGCGAAAAACAAATGTAGACAGCAAGGGTGGAAGCATCTGCAGATCTTCCTTAACGACCGTCGTTGGTGGCAAAAGGGGAGATGGAGTGTAAAGACTTATAGTCAAACTGGAGATCCAGAGAAGCACATTACACGGTTTACGCAATAAAAAACCTTCTTCAGGCATTATTTCAGTTTCAATTAGCAATTATTGTTGGTTTGGCAAGAAGGCCATTCAAACAAGATATGGCGAACACCATTAGGACATCTGGAAAACGAAAAATGGTCAAGAGGCAGCCACATCTTTCAGATATCGGGGATACACCATGAAGAATATTGCATTTATTGGAAGATCACTTGGCCTACCAGATTCCCTGGCCCGTTGTCCGCTTTTGTGGCAATTCTTCCGGCCGAGGCCCTCGGTTTCTTTGTCTTGCCCTGCTTATTGCCCATTTTCGGGGTGGAGCTACGGCTGGTCGGGACTCTTGGGATGGACAATGTCCGGCGGACACCGATCGACTGGCTGGTCGCCGACAGCTGCCACAGAGCTAATAAAAACGGCGCAGCACATAACATATACAATGTACAAATGCGAATAAAGAAAAATAGGAGAAACAGCCGGTGATCGAAGCGTTGCTCCATGCATATGTGTATTGTATTCCGGGTCTACTTGTGCACATGCTAGAAAGTGAATGTTTTGGCATATTGCGCGTGGTCGGGGGACGGGGCACGCCCCCAATTTGAGTTACTTCGCTTACCTTAACGGCGCCATCGTTTTTGTTGATCTCGCGCAAAACTCCACGACCGCCAATTCCCACACCCAAGCCATTGTCTGCACCATCGAATTCCATGACATATATCCCAGTATGCAGCTCTCTTCTAACGGCAGAGTGCACAGTTTTCACTCTATCTGCTGAGTTAAAGGCGAAAAATCCTATTTGTCACAATGTATAGATGGGTGAGTCGAATTTTTTGCGTTGCTTTTGTGAAAAATGCCGCTACAATTTGAAGAAGCATGAAATGTCAGTGTGACCGCGCGTAAGCCCTGCAAAAATACTATCAGCCCATACAAAATATACCAAAACCATTTGAACCTATAACAGCATTGGTCGCGTTCAGCAGAACAACCTGTTAAATTGCTGAATATTTGAAAATTCAATAGAAAGCAACAAGCAGCAGGGCAAATTTTCAAATTTATTGGAAGTAAAACATGTAATTTTTTTTTTTATTATAAGTTAAGTCTAAAATTATTGATAAGCTAGAAAATGTAGGAACTTAAATGTAGGAATTTAAAATTAAATATTGCGTACTGTTGATACTAAAATGTCCCCATTGCTTTTTAATGAAATAAAATTACAACTCTGGCTTTCAGACATTTAAGAGCTTCGAGGTTGTTGCTGAAATTTCTAAAAATAGAGTTTAAATGGTGCAGCTGATAAGCAGCTGTAAAAAATGTAACAACTCAGCAATGTAAAACGTATCAAGCAAAAGGCAGCCTATCATTTTAAGCTCCGGTTTTACTCACCGTGATAAAGGAATTTGTCAAGAAAAGGTAGCCCTGTTCTACGACATTAGAGCATTAATTACAGGCATGACATGATCCTAAAGAATATTTTAATTTTGGAAAAAATTGTTTCGTAACAGTGGAGGCTAGTGTGAATGCTCTAAACAACATAGTTGCTGCTGCGACTTTGCACGCTATGGTGATGGAAATATCGATATTTTCCATTAACCACTTCTAATAAGATGAAACATTTGAATATCCGTTAAATGGGCATATTGTGCAATCGTATCTCCAACCTTCTTGCACTCCCTTTAGCTAATAAGCTGGTATCTAATAGTCAGATTATCGACTATAGCTTTTCTCTTGTACTACCGTTCTTCGTAGGTAAAGGTATACTAGATTCGTCGGAAAGTTGTAAAGGCAGAAGAAGCGTTTCGACCCATAAAAAAAATATTCTTGATCAGGATCACTAGCCGAGTCGATATAGCAAGTCCACATAACCATATATTGGATCGCGGTAGGTGCCATTGCAATCTCGCTTTGCTGCTTGCATATTTCCATCTCCCTTTGGTCCTGAGTAACGGTTTGTTTAGCTGACTAACGGGTATCTGATAGACGAGGCTCTTGACTATGGCGTTCTTCCTTTTTTTGTACCCGTTACTCGTAGAGTAAAAGGGTACACTAGATTCGTCGGAAAGTAAGTAGCAGGCAGAAGGAAGCGTTTCCGACCCATAAAGTATATATATTCTTGATCAGGATCACTAGCCGAGTCGATCTAGCCATGTCCGTCTGTCTGTCCGTCCGGATGAACGCTGAGATCTCGGAAACTATAAGAGCTAGGCTATTGAGATTTGGCTTGCAGATTCCTGAGCTTCTTACGCAGTGCAAGTTTGTTTCAGCAGAGTGCCACCCAGAGTGCCATCCATCCGCTTTATATTGAGTTTACAAATTTCTGAAAGCTTAAAATGTTAAATGTTAGGTTTAACAATAAAAGAGTACATTTATGGGGATGATTTATTAGAAAAATATTGCTCTTTTGCCATGTATAACATTTCCTTTCATATAGTAACCATTATCAGATAACATTCAACAGGTTGCTAAGCGTACTCTAGTGATGCAACTTTAAAAATAGTGTATATTCATATTGCACGAAGGACCTGAAAACTACTAATTGAATTATATTAAACTAGCTTGGTAATTGATAATCATAATACATAACGGTAATAAAGTAATTAGTGTGTATTTTGCATTTTTTTCTTTATAAAGAATTAGTTATGTTAT